CAAGGCTATAGAACTCCAGGTAAGGACACCAGCCGTTTGACCTTGAACGCCGCCGGCCGGCCGATGACGTCATTGGAGGCAAGCCGACTCGGCGGACACACAGGGCGAATGCATAACGGAGGGGCGTTGGAACGTTGCGGGAGCCAGGGAGATATTTTAAAGTGGTTGCATACCACCATTGTTTGTTGATTGATCTACAGACTGCATCCTTTTAAAGGGACCCTCCCACCTTCAAAAAAGTTAATGAATCGGCACGAAAGTGATGTCGCTCGGTTCAGAAAGAGCGAAAACGAATATCTACCAAATTTCATCGAAAAATATTCACCGGTTTTCAAGATATTAGACTTTTACTTTTGTTTACTTTTTGGGATCTCCGCTGTTCCTAGCGACTTTATTTGAAAGTGCGGCATTTGTTGCGCGCAAAGCAGCATATACCACCGCGTGCTACCAAACGTTTTAGTAAAAGATTTAAAAATCGTTAGATCTCCGCTGACGTCACAAATTCTAAGGGGGCATACCAATGCACTAGCCCCTTAGAATCCGAAAACTGCAAGTTTGAAATTTCATATCTCCGAATTAAAGCATTTGTCGATGTTGTGAGTGCCCAAACCGGTATTTGCAGGCCATGGCCACCAATTTGGCTATCTCAACTCAAAACTAATGTTAAGGTGGGAGTGTCCCTTTAAACCTCGATGCATCCTAGGCCTGGATGGTGCGTACATTCGTGGAACGATCACCCCGTCCGACGTCCGTGGTCGAAGCTGTCATAGTATTTAAGACACCAAGACGGGTGCAATAACGGCGATCCGATCCCGTCTCTGGCGAATTTAGAGGGGTCGTAAGGACCCAGGCCGAATCTGACAGTCTATTTTTAGGGAAACGGGGTGGGTCAATTGACAACCGATGGCTTAAGAGATGATGAGAAGGGATCCCGTCGTCGATTGTTGTTTGACAGACAACACATGTTGTACTGGGCGTATGACCATCAGAGGTAATGCCTGAACGTAGGCAAGCATAATTGGTCTGTCATATTGTTTAGGAATATAAAATGGTAATGGAGATCATTGAGGATATGATCTCTACATAACGGGAATTCACTAATTACTACGGCCCATAGGGGCACCGCCGGAGCTGTTGTTTTGCCATCGGTCCCAGGCAACTCCAGGGAGCTGCAGTACCCGGCGGCCAAAGCGGCCACCTCGTCGACTCGCAGGTCCTCTGGGATTCCGTGATGCTTTAGTGCTTCACCCACAGAAGCACGGGCATAGCAGATAGGATGTGGGGCTAGGTGTCTGTCCACCTCTTCATTCAAAGAACGTGTACAGCGCCTGGTCCCGCCGATCAGCTCGGTATCGACCGTGACTTATTCACAACTGGCGGATCCAGGAAGCGGTATTGGCAGGCATCGGTAAAATCCTTTTTGAAAGGATTGCTTTCCCAATCCACATTCCTAGTGCCGAAGTGGATTGCATTCCGTACCCACAATCCCCTTTTTCACTTGGATTGTGATCAAATCCGCAATCCTTTTTTGCAATCCTGTTGTATTATCATGTGCACTAGTGCACGATCTGGGGGAGGGAGGGGGGCATAGGGCCGTGCCTCCATCCCCAAATCAGCCATTTCTAGTACCTAGTCTTGCCAGTAATTCCTATCTAAGGCACAGGTATTTTATGGGAAATATTTTTTTTGCCTCAAACACCCCCACATTTAAACCTTTACCGGTTACCCAACCAGTGTTTTATATTTTTTAAAACTCGCCCTCAAATACGTAATTTTGCCCTTCCTATGTAGTTCATCAGCGTATATTATTTTGAGCGTTTAAAGGGACCCTCCCACCTTCAAAAAAGTTAATGAATTGGCATGAAAGTGATGTCGCTCGGTTCAGAAAGAGCAAAAACGAATATCTACCAAATTTCATCGAAAAATATTCACCGGTTTTCAAGATATTAGACTTTTACTTTTGTTTACTTTTTGGGATCTCCGCTATTCCTAGCGACTTTATTTGAAAGTGCGGCATTTGTTGCGCGCAAAGCAGCATATACCACCGCGTGCTACAAAACGTTTTAGTCAAACATTTAACGGACGTTCGAAAGCCTGATGACGTCATCAGATTCCCGTAATGGTTAAGAGATAGGGACCAAGCTGGTCCCACCCTGCAAGTAAAGGGAAGAAATTTCTTGAACACCATAAAGCTGCGGGGGTTGCAACCAGGATAAATGGTGGTTTCTGAGCCTGGCCGCAAACTTGGCTATCTCAACTCAAAACTAATGTTAAGGTGGGAGGGTCCCTTTAAATTAAAAGCATTTAAATTATTTCAAGTTTCGACGTAAAGCCCTTGATAGCAAAGTACATTAAGCCGATGAAGCCGATCTCATAATTTTCAATCGCAACAAATCATTTCAAAGCACTAATCAAACACAATCCGGATTGGATTGCAAAAATTGAAAGTATGATGCAATCCAATCCGCAATCAAATCCTGTTTTTTGGAATGGATTTCAAATCCAGGTGCAATCCAACAAAAAAGAATGCAATCAGGATTTTGCAATCCTGCAATCACAATCCTACCGATGCCTGGGTATTGGACACTGCGGGGGCTTACCCCAAAAAGGTTTCTCGGAATTAATTTAAAAAACTCGGATTTCGATTCCTTGCGCACTGCTGTGCGGTGTGATTAACCAGCATTTCCTCAGAAAAGTTGTGAAGTTTTCATTTATTCTCGAAAATCGATTTCGGGCGCTGCCCTGGTTGTTGGGGAAGACATTTGCCCCAAATGCCTTCCCCTGGATCCGCCAGTGGCCGTTGCCCCACTCCGAGCTTGACTAAAGACGTCTTCAAACCTCACCAGAAACCGATGGTAAGGTGAATTTAAATCCAATAACTCATCTCTGTCTGCCCGCCTAAATATACTACACATGGTACAGCACCCGGCCCTGTCGGAGCTATGAGCCGATCGTGATATTTTCGGCTTTCCCCATCCCAAGCTCGATTAGAAACGTTCTCCTTCCCCACCCGATTGCTGATGTCAATTCAAATTCAATGCCTCATCTCTGTCTGCCCGACCATAACCCATTCATTGCACACCGTTCAGCGCCCGGCCCCGCCAGAAGTATCCTAGCGCGCTGAGCAGTTGCCTCCAGCCGCGTCATCGCGAGGCCCCGCGCGGCCCATAAATGAATACATTGCGCGAATAGCCGTGTCGCCCCCCTGAACCAAACCTTACCAGTGGCGGATCCAGGGGGGGGGGCAAAATGGGCATTTGCCCCCCCAAACGGCATGATTTTAACATAACGGCTATGGACGATGCACAGTGGCGGCGGAAGCGGGGGGGCAGCGGGGGCACGGCGCCCCCCCATCTTCCAGGGTGGGGGTGCAAACATATCTTTTTGCCCCCCCAAATTGTTATCGACGCAGTACCACAATACTTCCATACTACGTCATGAACATATGCCAGTTTGGCTGAGTACCTTTTTAAGTTAATAGAGCGAGTAATTTGGAATGGATTGATATTGTTGTCAATGTCGTCGTACATATTTTGATCACATTGGCTAGCATTTTGCAGTGCGAGTGTTACCAACCAAAAAGGTTTGCAATAACCAATAATTGGCTAACTTTAATGACGTCATTGGTTTAAAGGAAGCAAGTTGTTCAACGCGAACAACAGTCACGGTGACAGCCACAGCGTGCTACACGTATTTGAACTGGACTTGCCGCAGTGGCGCGGGAACCAGAGGGGCGGTTCCCGGGAACCGGCTGGAGGGGCTAGCGGGTGCTGAGCCCCTCCAACTTTTCGGCGGGGGGAGGGCTCGTAATGTAGGTATTTGAGACCCTCCAACCGGAGGAATCGAAATCGGAAATCTACCAACATAATTTCATAGATTTATTACCTTTTCGAAATGTTAACCAGAAACAATCTTCATTATGGAGCGTTCTAACGCAGAAGACTGTGACAACATGTAAGCACATATTCATTCTCTAAATATCATACATTTCCACCAAACGCCCTCCACACATAATGCTCAGAAATCAAGCAGCTATCTACGAGCTACCGGTAACCGGAAGAGTAGGACGGAACGCGAGTGGCCCGGCATGCGGACGTCACAGAAGCGCGTCTGAGCGTGCCACAGGCCTTTCCCCGCGACTCTGCCAGACGCCAGCCGGCATAGACTCGTGAGCCGGGGGGCAGCATGGGGGTAGCCTGCCCCCACAACTCTGGGGCCGTGGGGGGCGCAGGCGCTGCCCCCACAAAGTTTCATAGGGCCAGGAACCGTCGGGGCAGCTTGTCCTCCCTATATTAGCGGCCGTGGGCCTCAAAGAAAAGCTGAATGGAAGACAATGCCTAGGTATTTAAGTAAAAAAATCCCCCTCTCTCTATACCTGATTTGACAGCTCATGTGTGAAAGCTTTAAACGTTTATTCCAAGTTACCAAAAAGGTAGTTCCTTGACTCAGATGAGACGGGATATCTCACTTTTTGCAAATGTTTTCGTTTCGATTTTTCGTTGTAAAGGCCAAGGGGTGAAAAATAAGTGGCCTAAAACCGGTGAGAAAACTAGATTTGGGGGTACCCTAGGTTCCGGGAAGGATCAGGTGTGCCCCCCCATCCCAAAATACCTTCCGCCGCCTCTGACGATGCATGGAAAGAATCGATAAATTTTTATGGTTTGCCCCCCCCCCAAACCTCTGAGCTGGATCCGCCTCTGAACCTTACCTTACCTGACCTACTGATTTTTGCCTACCCGGGGATAAGGAAAAAGTTTCTCGCATGAATAGATTGCAATCAATAGTAGCCAAATAGGCAACCACTTAACCTAAAAATATTTGATTTGACCTACCCGAACCCAAGATTCTTACAGATACCAAACCTACCATTGCCTGTAATCTCTCCTAAGGGATTGCCGGGCATTGCCTTCGGCACTGCGCTGCTTCGCAACGAAAAAGTTCATGACGTCACTTTCCTCGCAGTTGAATAGCAGGTTGAATAGCATCGTTAATACGTATTCACTCAACCTTGGAGCGCAGTGCGCGTGGCCGGTGGCGGGTGTACGCGGGGTACGCGGTGGGGGGTACTCCGGTACGGCGGTGGCGGTAAATATTGTATTGGTGCATTTAAACTTGTTTGTGCCATGAATAACTATCAGCTATGAAATCAGGAGGTCAAATTATGTCATGTGATATGCTTTTTACTATCACTTGAGGTTCGCAACGAAAGTAATGGCTGCCGGTCCTAAAGTAAATAAATACGAAGTTACCTACGTACCAATGCTATTGTCTAAGAGGTGTTTTTAGGCTTCTTAGCTACGACTCATTTTCTTTTCCTGAGTGTGTGATGCATCCACGTTACTTATGAATCAACGGCCTCCGCGCCTGCTATTACCGCCTCTCCCCCCCTTCCCGGTATTCGGTATTCCTGGCAACAGCCAAGGTCGCACGGGCAGCCCGGCCTGCTGACCCGCCCCTTTACGTCACCGTCTCAGTCTCCCCGTCCGCAGGTCACGCCCGGCTGGCCGAGCTCAGCGTGACGTCAGCGACACACCCTCGTCTGTCCGGTATCGACCTGCGCGGCGCGTCGGCGGCACGCAGCCCGGTCCCGGGTGGGAGGGAGCACATGAGCCCGCCCAGCGCCTCCGCCGACGCAGACGCTGACGTCAACCTCAGCCGGCCGCACAGCTCTCGGCGCCGGCGGTTATTTCCGCTCCGGGGACGGTCCCATCGCGCCACGCGCCACTGCTGGCACCGAGTGCAGCGACAGTGAGCGGCTGCCAGCCCTAGTGTGCGCCCCTCGGCCGAGCGACCGCCACCGCCTGCCCGCCGCCGCTGGTCCGAGACACGAGGTCATACAGCGGGTCACAGGACTGTGAACGGTGAACGGAGTGACCGGCGGTGACACCGTGTGACCCGGTGGCCTCAGGTGTGACCGGGTGACCTCAGGTGTGACCGGTGACCGGTCGCGTGTGACCCAGTCGGGCGGTCGGCTCTCGTTCGGCGATGCTGCAGCGTTCGCGTGCGGTGCTGCGCCTGCTGCGGGAGCACCGGGCGCTGTCTCCGGTCGGCCGCGGCGCGGTCAGCAGTCCCGCCACCCCGACCAGGGCGGTGGCCGGCGGAGCGCACCCGTTCGGCCCGCCGCCGCCGCCCCTCACCCGGCGTCTGCAGGTCACCAGGCGGTGTCAGAGTCTCAGCGACGTCAACAACGTGAGTAGCCAGAGTCTACCGTTAGTTGTCTCGGCAATGTTACCGTGAGATGCCAGAGTCTCGGCAATGTTACCGTGAAAAGCCCGTCATCATTCGCATCTTCGAGATGTCGATGTAACTTCGTCATTAGGTTTTCTAAACCGGACGATCATGTCCAGATGGGCCCAATAGATGCTCAACGCTCATGTCGTAAGCGCAAATTGCAGACGTTTCATAGTTCCTTACGATTCCTGGATCAGTGAGCCGGATGGTCTCTGATACGACGATCGGAAGAATAGCTCATTGCGTCATACGTGCTCTTTGGAAAAGAACATCAGAACATCTGTGTCAAATTTTCCGATCGATAAAAGGGTGTCCCACCGAGCAGTCACCGTTTGAGAGGGTGACGTAAGACGATCACGACTCATGGACTGGTCGAGGGCATTCAGACTGGCCGGTGCGGCTGACTGTTATATCGGCTTCATTTCAACCTGGGCTAGATTCTCAGTGTCTGATAGCAGCAGCGCCTATTGCCAACATTGCATTGGTTGACGATTTCAGGGAGGCACTGAGCTGTAAGATCGTTTTTATGCCCGATAGTTCAATCAAGTAATAGTCAGGTGATCTAAGGTAGTTTCTTTAACACAAATTTTTATTTTTCATTCTTACTTTATGCTAAATGTTATGTATATTTTAAGCATTATTTTGTGGTTCACATTGAACGTGTCCCAGCAGCATTGGTAACGCTGTTTCGTGCGCATACATTCTCACCTTTCAGTATAATGCTAACGCAATGATGCACGTTTTTTTCCTACTTGCATATGCGCACTGTGCACATCATGCATATATGACACGTTATACATGCATGCACAAGTACGGGTGTCCTTCAGCCGCTGTATGTATTCGGCGCCGCGCCTGGTTTCACGGGACCTCGGCTTACCACCGGCCATCGACCGGTGCTTGTGGTCGGCGTGGGTCGGGGAGCGATCACCGGCCGCTGATGGTCCCACAGACCGGCGGCGGTGGAAATCACTGGCTGAGTCACGACGGGAGAGAGTAGCAGTAGACTGATACTGTCGGTGTCGGCCAGGGGTGACGGTCATCGACAGCCCTGCTGTCATAATATGTGACAGACAGTCACTGGCAGGCGTACTTTACCGAGGCCGGCAGTTTCTGGCAGCTCAGCTGTTATGTAACAGTGGTAGCGAAATAGCTATGTACTTGTTATTCGCGGACGTGGAGCGCCAGCGGTCATGGGCGAAGTTTAGGTACCTACTACGCTATGGCAGTGCTGGTGATGCTTTCACGATTTCATCATAGAAGTGGTAGCCAGACGAACTTATGGCGCCTTGTGGGCCATATAATCATCCAGCATATCCAATGCATATTTTGTGAGCTTAGTTTTGGGCACCCTGATGACAAATCGTTGGATGGTTGATTTCTAGTGACATCGTTAGCGTTTTATTCGTTTTACCAGATATGATGAAAGCAGCTACCTCAACCTGCAGACCGGACATGGCCCATGAGTTGTCACGCTGCTTAAGTTGTCCTGAACAAGTGACGTTATTAAACGGTACTGCAAGAGCGAACAGGTACCTAGCAGCCCTTTCGAATGGCTTCCGTTTGCACGTTATATTTCATCATGCATCACCTGGCTGACATGTCGGAACTTTGATTGAACACGGATCTTTCAGCCACCATTTGGTTGGATGTCGGAACTTTCCATCGTTAATCGCTCATGGCGCCAACCATCCATCACAGAAGCTGCCTTCCACGGTCCATTTCCATAATGCTTTGGGGGCACCGCGCCGACGAATGGATTTGCATTAACAGGTACCGCCTGTTTGCCAGCTAATATCCGGCTCTATTTTACCGCGTGACTGTAGGTACTTCACCCATTCACGATATTCCCAGTACACCCATATTTGTGATCGCCCCCCGTCGCACTGAAGGACATTATTTCCGTTGTTGTCTGTGGCACAGTCTGGTATTGCTGTCCCTGCCGAGTGCCGGTTCGTCTGTATGTACAGGTCTCGCGAGATTAAGCGGTAGGTTTTGCACTTTTACATTTCCGGTTATATCTCAGAAACTAATCGATCTACGATGAAGCCATTTTACACGATCATGGCCGGCTTGTTACCCAACAAGTCGATCGCATCTTCAACACTTAAAAGCTTAAGACGACGAAGATATAGCCTGAAGTAGGTACACTAATTTTTCTAGGTGCAAAACCTACCGCTAAAACCCACGAGACCTGTACCTACCGCTTACAGACCCGACTGAGCCGTGACGGTCTCCTGTTGGTTCATTGGGAAGGTCGCGAGTCGAGCAGGACCGGGCTGGAGCTCACAGCTGTTGGGACGAGCGGCGCTCAGTTGGCCCCCGGCCGCCACCGCTGTCATCCGCACATGGTCAGAGGCGGCGATTAGTGCCACAGAGCAGCGGTGAAAATAGGCCGGTCAGAGGTTCCGAACCCGACGCGAGGGCCGCGAGCGGTGGCGGCAGGATGCCAAATTACAAACGACAAAAAGTGATGTGATGTTGAGTCACAGAGACACTTAAAAAAAAAAAACGAAGGAAGCTGAGTAGCTAAGCCCATAAGGTCCAGTAGTATCATAGGCAAAGCAGAAAACTGAAAAGTCGACTCATGAAATCCTGTACCGATATCCGTTTTCTATTGGCTGCCGGCGTATGTGTGGTCGATAGGTATAAACGACCGTCCATTGCTGGCCAAATTTTGTATTTCGTGCCGGCTACCGGATGCCTGGAGCCGCTCCCCGTCCGGCGCACGCTGGGCCGGCGGACCGGAAAAGCGCTAGAAATACCCCCAAGAGTGACTTTCCACAATATGAACAAAATATGTATCATTCGATCCCAAATTGATCAAAGTATACGATTCTGATGCCATTTTTGCTCTAAGGTCGAAATTGAGGTGGTCAGTTGTCACCAAACACAAGACTATTTAGACCCGCTAGTGGCCACCACATTTGCCGATTTTAATGCTAATCTTTAGTTGATATTTATTAGTTGACCAGTTGTCGTTTTGAACGCAATTTTCTGTCAGACTAGTTCAGGGCACTGTTTCTCACTGTACCAACAACATTCTTACATATTGCATCGCTTTTCTGCAAGATAAGCTAGCTTTTTGCAAGCAGCTGCAAGACCTAAATAAAAATCATATCTAAATTTTTAAATAGACTTTTATAAAAACGTTATTTCGAGCGGCTAGAAATGAACATCTTATACTAGCCTCTGATTACTCATCTTTCGTTCCATATAGGTGCTTTGCTGCTTTTCCCTGCTACTTTTCGAGATATGCGCCAGTAAACCATATGATGTAGGGGCAATTGTCACCTCGCCGCTCTACTGACGGCCCGGCGCTCTTTAAAGCGCCGAAATTTATGAAAAACGAATGTTTATAATCTGAATAAAATATATGTCCCTGAGCTCAGAATTGATCAACGCACACAATGCTGTCAAAATTTTTGGGCCAAAGTCAATAATTAAGTCATTATGAACCCCCAAACACAAGTCAGTGATAATCAACAACAACTTGCTCTTTAGTTAGACTTTTTGAGAAATGTTATTTCGAGCCGCTAAAGATGAGCATGTCATGCAAACAACTAGTCAATTGTCTGCCATGCCCTGTTGACGATTATTGCCTTTTACTGCTACTTTTCGAGATATCGTCTGCTTAGTCACCTGATATAGCTGCTATGCCACCCTACCGCGGTAGGGTGGCATAGCAGCTCTATATCAGGTGACTTAGCAGACGATATCCCGAAAAGTAGCAGTAATAGGCAATAATCGTCAATAGGGCATGGCAGACAATTGACTAGTTGTTTGCATGACATGCTCATCTTTAGCGGCTCGAAATAACATTTCTCAAAAAGTCTAACTAAAGAGCAAGTTGTTGTTCATTATCACTGACTTGTGTTTGGGGGTTCATAATGACTTAATTATTGACTTTGGCCCAAAAATTTTGACAGCATTGTGTGCGTTGATCAATTCTGAGCTCAGGGACATATATTTTATTCAGATTATAAACATTCGTTTTTCATAAATTTCGGCGCTTTAAAGAGCGCCGGGCCGTCAGTAGAGCGGCGAGGTGACAATTGCCCCTACATCATATGGTTTACTGGCGCATATCTCGAAAAGTAGCAGGGAAAAGCAGCAAAGCACCTATATGGAACGAAAGATGAGTAATCAGAGGCTAGTATAAGATGTTCATTTTTAGCCGCTCGAAATAACGTTTTTATAAAAGTCTATTTAAAAATTTAGATATGATTTTCATTTAGGTCTTGCAGCTGCTTGCAAAAAGCTAGCTTATCTTGCAGAAAAGCGATGCAATATGTAAGAATGTTGTTGGTACAGTGAACAACAGTGCCTTGAACTAGTCTGACAGAAAATTGCGTTCAAAACGACAACTGGTCAACTAATAAATATCAACTAAAGATTGGCATTAAAATCGGCGAATGTGGTAGCCACTAGCGGGTCTAAATAGTCTTGTGTTGGGTGACAACTGACCACCTCAATTTCGACCTTAGGGCAAAAATGGCATCAGAATCGTATGCTTTGATCAATTTGGGATCGAATGATACATATTTTGTTCATAGTGTGGAAAGTCACTCGTGGGGGTATTTCTAGCGCTTTTCCGGTCCGCCGGCCCAGCGTGCGGCGCCCGAGCAGCTTGCAATAGTCATCATAGATGTCGCTAGTGGTAACGCCTGAAGGCATGCTGTGCCGCATGACACTACATATATGAGCCGTGCGGCCAGCGCGGTTATGGAGGATCGGCCAGCCGAGGCGGGCCAACAGTCATGTCTCCAAAAGCAACATGCGGCATCTGTCGCCCTATAAACACATTAATTTGAACATTTATTCGTTTTTATCTGGTTTATGGTGCAAGATAAAGCAGATGGGATAGCATCGTTGCGGTTAAGCGTAGACGACCATTTGCTGACACCTAAATAAACATTCGCATTATCTCGGCACTAGCGAGGAAGTGGACCGCCTCTACCGTTTTTCCATAGTTTAATATTTTGTCAGTTTTCGATTTGACTTCTCTACAGTGCGCCTCATCGACCCCAGCATATTTTTGCCTTGCCTTTTTTACCCGTTGTGTTCCCGCGATTCACTCCTGGTCTGCTCCGTTCCAGGAGAGATCGTCGACTCCCCCGCCGGGCCAGCGGCTGTCCTCGGAGGGCGCTCAGGGATCGTGGAAGTCGCAGGTGTTCACTGATGCCGAGCAGATCGACGATGACATCGATAAGAAAAGGTAGGTGCCCAGCAGTGGAGCTGTTGCTATTGGACATTCTTTAGTCAATGAAATGAGAGCAAGATATCTTGGAGGACTTGTAACGAAGCGTTTTCAGCTTATTTTCTAGTATGTGTTCCTCATTTCATCGAACGCACTGGTTATATAACCGTCCTTCATCAGTAATATATTACGTTTTTAAAACAAAATCGGAACATTTATTTTCCTATTCTTACGAGAGGGTCGGATAAAGCTTCTTATTTCCGGACGAATATCATTTTACCGACAGCTATTATCCGATACTGATAGACATCCTTGACCAACTGCCATAGCAAATAGACGCACCGACGCAGCCCCCGCAGTCGGGTTGTGATTTAATCGGGGTTCCGCACGTTCCTGGGACCGGCGCCCTCAGCTGTGACCTTGGCCTGTGGCTGGCACGCGGCGCTGACACTTCCCCTGGCACGGCTCCGTTTGTGTCAGAGGGGCCTGGCCGTCAGACATGGCTCCTGTCACCCTGTGTCAGAGGGGTCACCGGGTACTGGTTCAGGCCGTCACACATGGCAGCGGGGAAAATTTTATCTTCAATATGGCTCCCTGTTCATGTACAAATGCGAATCGAGCACAGTTTGAAATGTTGGAATTAATTTATTTCTTTTCAGCCCGGCCGAGCAGCGCCAGGCGTTTGATATGCTGGAAGACAGCATTTTCTACATGTTCTCAAGAGACGGCAAGACCATTCAGATTGGCAAGTTTCTAGCCGTAAGTTGTGCTGGACCGGTACATTTGTATGTGATGTCCTGTGTCTTGTAATATTGTTAGTTCAGGACATTTTGAGTTCCTTTTTGCATCGACATTTTCAGATTGTCTTGTAATATAAGAATCTAAGAAGCTTTGAAATATTACTTTATTTTGAAAATTGCACTGTTTCCATCAAGGGTATGCAGCGACACATACTAAATCCCCTGAGGTGACCTGACCTGACCTGAGCTGACCGCTCCTCCAGGCGCTGCGGGAGACCGGTCTGCGTAAGAACGACCGCCGTCTGCGTGAGATGACCGAGAACCTGTACAAGGTGTACGAGGAGCGGTCGGGTGCGCCGGACGTACACAGTCCGGAGAGCCAGGTGCTCGACCTGCCCACCTTCAGACGGTCAGTGGGCGGGGGGGGGGGGCACCTTTAGACGGTCAGTAGGGGGGGGGGGGGGCTTCCCACCTGTAGACGCCTAGACGGTCAGGGGGTAGACCTACCCGGCACCTTCAGACTCGTTCAGTCTGACTCCCGCAGGCGCTGTGAGTTATTGCCTAGGCTCCTGCCTCTCTGTGTCTTTATCGGAGAAATTACCACCCTGATCAATTTTATGTGCGCCGTAAAACTTTTGTTGCGGCGATCATCAGCCCTAACCATCGTCAGTCGTCACTATTTATCGATAACGATTGCTTTCGATGTTCATGTTTCGACACCTGATGGATGGATCTATCTGTTTTCCAGTCTGGTGACGAGCAACATCCACCTGATTTCGCGGGCCATGCGCCAGCGGTTTGTGATTCCCGACTTTACCAACTTCTGCCGGGATATCGAGGCCATCTACTGGCACTGCAAGTCTTCCGCCGGCGGAAAGGTGGGCGTCGCCGCGGCGGGAGGGTGTGCGGGGTGGTTTTCCGGGATTTATAATCACGGTATGAATTCAATGCAACGTTTCAGACGCCTTTCATTCAATTCATTTTCAGTGAATATTAGATTCTAGGAAAATTCGGCGGATTGGTTCGGTCTAGGGTTTATGGACATATGTACATATAAATGTGAACTTGTTAACAAACAATTTTGTTTCGTGTGGGTTTTTCTCTTTTTGTCTTTCAGTGCCATTTTGCTCTTGCTTTCTTGGGTACTCCGCGCAGGGCTATATGGGGACAGGGGCTTTCTTACTGGGGGGCTGCATGTGTTCGCTTCCATGCAATGCAAGCTGTGCCATGCCAGCTGTATGCAGTCTCCTTTCTGTCACAACCCGTTGATATTAACCGTCCGTGCTCCGTCCCGCTGGCTTCTTCAGGAGGGGGAGGTGAGTGAAGACTACACTCACAATCAGTGGCGTGCCGCGCTGGATAACCGTAGTCACGGAATAACACTGTAGTCTGGCACGTCTCAGTCCTGTCTGTGATAGGTATCCGGTGGGCACGGGTGTAGACATTCAGGTCATTGAGCGGCCGGTACCTGCTGGAACAGGAGCCGCTGAAGCCATATAAGGCGACAGGGCTCTCCGGCAACAGCATGACATTTGTTGTGACACCTTTAGGGCCAGTTATAGTGGGTGTTTTGTGGAGGTTTAATCAGTTCTCCGAAAAGGTATTTAGCTATTTGCCAGTAATTTTGTGTGATTTACGCATGTAGGTGGTGTGTCCCTGTAGTTTTATTATTTCTTTTCAGAGCCAACATGTCACGATTTTTTCCCAAACTCAGTCTCTGATTTGCCGTTCGCGTGACGACTCCTACTCTTGTCGTGTTAACATAACCTATAACCCCATATGGTGGTAGCTATGCATACTTCTGCATGTATGCTGCTTACTACAGTTATTTGGTGTGCCTAATATTATTATGTCGTATCTAATGCTGACTTATTTCCATTTCCTTTTGGTATGATAACTTATGACTAATGCATTCATAGCACAAAACACTTAACCGTTTCCGGATCTCCTGGGACTTTCCACCAAATTTATAATGTCCACTGCTTTCTCCGTAAATTGAGCTGGGCTGTTTTGTCACATTTGGTAGAATCTATTTCGATTTCCCACCTACCTGCTGCGGCCGCTGCTCTCAGCGGGTCTCTGCTCTCTATCGTCGCCAGCTGCCAGCTGCCGGCGCGCCCGTTCTCGAAGTGGGCCGACGGGCTGCCTCTCTCCGGCGGGGAGGAGCTGATGGCGGGCGGCGACACGCCTCTGCCAGGAGGCCGAGGGGTGGGTGGTGTGGAGCGTGGCGTAAACCCTCTCTGAATATAGAGTAGAGGAGACCGGGAGCGGGTGGGGAAGTTTATACCTCGCTGCCGACGGCCGGGAAAGGCGTCCATGCTGCGGTCGTTGTGGTCGGTCTGAGGTGGAGAAAACTGGACCACCGGGAGGGGAATCGGACCGAGTTATCGCTGGGAGACTCATTTCTAACCACCGACGGGAACTCTTAGAATATTCCACAAGTTGTGGAGCAACTTTTGTGCAACGAGGGCTCGGGTTGATTGGACAGTGGACTGCGGTGCATTAAAAATAGATGCGAAAATGAACTTCGCCGTAATTATTTTAAGAGCCTAGGTTATATAACGGTCGGAGTGCTCCGAACTAACACTTCGGGTGGGCATTCGTTTATTGATAACTAGACTTGTCAACTTTTCGAGACTCTCCGTGCACATATCGCCGAAATGATCGTGCTTCCCCGTTTATGAAATTGAAGCCTAATCACTCTGCGCTTGCGTCAGTTTGTTATAAGGCCGAGTAGGTATGGTACGGGAGGTGTCTGAACTGACCAGTCGAGTTTATGTCGTGAGAGCAATATTTCACAGCCTACTGTGACGGGTGAATGCTGAACCAATTACTGAATACTAGACGAGGCAGCGGGCTCGAGATACGTGGCGTGGGTGCAGGTGCATCACTGAATTAGTTCTCGGTTTGTTGACTGCAGTTTCGTTTTGTCTCACTCAAAAAAGAAGTAGATCGTATTGTCCTTGGTAACTAGCACCTACACCAGAGCAGACAGCCATCGCTGTGAGTGTGCATTGTTTCTGTCATGTTTCTATGTTTGTACAAGTAGTGGTAGTAGTCCGATCTGAAATGAAAGACGAGTGAAGCTTCCTCCTCGTCTTTGCATGTCAATCTTGGGAGGCCACTGCTGAGACTCATTGGTAAGAACTTTGTCCTTAGAAACGGAATTTCACTAGATGAGTTTGCTGTAATTTTCATGTCACATGCGGTCTTGTGTAGGTACGATTAGCACAGATATTGTTTCCGTTGTGTTGTGAGATCTTCCCACGATTGCGGTGAATCCACGCTGAGCTGTACTTGTCTTCGTCCGGTGGGTGACTTTGTGCTGTACCCCATAATCCTTAACAATATCATTAAATGAGCTAAACATGCGTAGTTTTATGTATTTCGTCCGAGAAAGTATCGTAATGTGCACTAAGAACATCCCAATCGCTAAGCCTTTTCCCAGTTTACCTTCTGTGGTCAACATATGATCGATCTCGTTCGCTCATATGCAGGCGCAGCCCGTCTTATCCTTGATAAGCCCTGTGTATTTCTACATCACTCTTGCCAGTGTAGGCCGCCATAGTTTCTGCCGATCCCGCCAGGTGCCACCTCTGTCCCGGCGGTCTCTGTTAGTTGCTGATGGAGCCGCCAGCTGTCGCCCCCGTCCTCTGGCCCTGTGGTGACTGTTAGTTTCTTCTGGTGCCGCCAGGTGGCGTCGTACATCCCGCAGCTGGCGCGGTACGACCCCAACTTCTGGGGCGTGTCGGTGTGCACCGTGGACGGCCAGCGCTACTGCATCGGAGACGTGACCGTGCCGTTCACCGTGCAGTCCATCAGGTGGGTAGCGGGCGATAGTCGATCAGGTGAGTAGTTCACAGTGCAGTCCATCAGATGAGATAGCGGCGGTGTTCTGTCAGAGTAGCAGTTTGTACTCGGGTGGCCAGAGGTAGGTAGGTGGTGAATTGCTTGGATGGGGTGGATAGCCGACTGTTGGTTCATCCGTAGGTGGTCAGTTGGTAGCTCACCAAGTGGGAGATCGGTCGATCTGATGTGGTGTGAGGCGCTGGCCGGTCGTCGACTGGTGCATTAGATACCAGCGGCTATATTGCACTGTCTGCTAATACCCGTCTGACTGAATAAGTCACTATGATATATCGTTTCACAACGCGGATGTTATTACCCAAGGACAGGCGTTCGATCGTAGGACATTTATTGACACACAGTGACGCATGTATTCTGTGCTGCTTTATACTCAGTGCCCACGTAGCTGGAAAACGTGCCTCTGCTCCATTTGCCCACACGCCCAGTAAACACTACGTACATAGGGGAGAGTGGTGCAGGAGGCCCCCCCTTAAGCTCAGTTGCTATTTTTAGACAACTGATAATATTTAAGAGCTAACGTGTGCATGCGCTGTGAGCATGCATCATTTTCCCATACATATTTGCATTCAAAATGAATCTAGGGGGTACACAAACCGTAAACTTTAACATTTTGGAAAAAGTTGCAAAAGGGCCTCTTACACTATGGGTATGGTAAGACGCCCCCCCCCCCTCGGGTGTTTAACAAGGCAAGTCGACTTGCAAAAGACGTTTTGCGAACACAGCTGCAAGGCCTTTTATTTCGAAAAGCTAAGCAAATACGGTGTTATCGAAACCAATAACACTTCCAAAGCGCTCGAACAATGCGAAAACTAGCACAACCAAACGCTGATGACCAACGAAAATTGTACCTATTACCTCTAGAAAAAGAAACAGAAAAAAAGAAACAAAAACAAACTCCTTGAAAAAAGAATGCCACGCCTGCCGCAGGTGCAGGCGTTTTAGCATCGGGGGCGTTTTTTATCGGGGGGGGCGTTTTATAATCCTCGAAGGGAGGGCCTCTTAAAAAAATGCAGTGTTGTAACGTCACAATATTTATGGTTTATGAGACATTTGCAGCGCACCAGAACATGGTCTATTCTGAAGCTAACATGTGACAATTTCGATGAGATAAGATTGCATTTGATAGTCATTGTTTTTCAGATATATAAGGGTGATAAAGATGCATATATCTAGCAAGTAAAGGGGCAAAAACAGAAACAGGCTTACCAAAAGTCGCTGCGACGCACCTGATACCTCAGGTTTCGTGAGTTGTTGTTTCAAGAGGGCTTCTGCTTTACAAGAACATTAAAAAATAAATAACATTATTGGTTTGGTAAAAAAAGCGATGGGGCCTCTTACCGACCCTGGGCGTCTTACACGGATCTCCCCTATATCTCGCATGTCGCGCCGGCTTTCAGTGTCCGTTAGGCCTGTCTACGTCATGCTATTTCTAGCGATATCTGTCTCATCCGAGCTGTATTGCCTCGTTCTATTTCCTCACCAGAACGCTGACGGTAGAGTACGTACGTTGGCGCAAGGAAGCTAGCCCGTTTCAGCTTTTATCGCCCTTTTTCTCCCCGGCAGTTAGCTGCTGACATTTTCCCCTGCCCCTCCCACGGTAAGCCACTGACGTTATCCCCCGCCCCACACACACCGGCAGTAAGCCGCTGACGTACGGCCTGGTGCTGGACGAGCTGGGGGAGGACATGGTGCACCAGTACGTCGGACAGGAGCCCAGCGGACGCATGTTCAACGAGCTGGTGCTCGACCACAACAAGAAGCCGCACAACCCCATGATCAACGCGGGCGCCATCATCGTGTGCTCGCTGCTGCAGACGCTGGCGCACAAGGAGATGAACCTGGCAGAGCGGTTTGACCACGTCAAACAGTACTTCTCGGTGAGAGAGGGAAAGGGAGAGCGGAGGAAATAGTGGGCGGTGGGGGGGGGGGGGACGGGAGTTGGACCACGTCAAACAGTACTCGGTGAGGACCTAGGGGAAGGGAGGAAGACGTCGATGCCGGGCGGTAGGGCGGCTAGGGCCCTTCTTCTAGGTCTAATTCTCTGTGATCTACTGCTCACTATTGTTCCGATGATCAGCGATCCATATATATCTCGTTGATATTGAACACCGCGTCGCCAGCCATCTGTGTTCTGTAGTTATTGCGATCAATGCCCCTGAGTCCATAAAGGTCTCTCGCCCCGTATCCTAGACACAAATTAATTGTCCCTCCTGCCCTCCGCCTATGTGACGGCCGCTTGTGTGGGCCATCGATTTTCGGTAGCCGGATGTCTGACACAGTTGATGAGGTTTGGCTTAATCACCGGCCAAGCTGTATATGTACGGCGCCCTTGGGACGATGGATGCATTTCGGTCATGGATCATAGGCTCTGCTGACAGCACCATGAGCGTTATACGTTGAACGTTGCATACTCGACGTTGCCATCATAGCTAAGGGTTACGCTATATGTCATGACAAAAAAAAATGTTGATCCTGACTATGCGATTGATGTTTGTGACAATAATTTAATCGGAATCGATGCCTTCCGACTGGTTACATTTAACCTTAACATTTAACCTTAATTTAACCTTACCCTTAGGCCTCAACCTCGGTAACATTTTACCCTTACAGCAATTACGATAGACGTCTAACCAATATCAAAGTACAGCTTGATCAAGTCTACTGTAATCGAATTGGAAATCATATTGGCTCGTCGCCAGTCAATGCATCCCTCACCCGTCGGCGACATTTCCCTCGCGGTGTTATGAGCACGTCCACCCCTTCCCCTCCCCCTCCCCAGTACCCGGAGACAGTCGGCGCGGCTCTATTGATCTGCTCCGGGTCAGGGGTCATTGGCAGGCAGAAATGCTCACCTCGCGGCCGGGCAGTGCTCACCGGCAACTGAATCCTCAGCCTGACATCAGTCCTAGCTCCGGCCATGCACTGAGTCCGATTTTGACGGCTGAGAAATGACACTATTTTACCTGGCCGGCACCTGATAAATTATGTGGAACATTCGTGGCGTGATTTGTCTGAGAACGTCATGAATATCAAATGTCAGGCGTATTATTTAGATTGGACGTATTCATTCTTAAATCGCGTTTTGGTCATGGCAGGCACAATGGTGGAAACGCACAGGTATTTGGGCTTACCGACGCCGTCTCTTGGCTTACCGTATGCTTTATGCACCTGACATTTGTTACTCAATGTGCCGGCTCTTAGTTTGTGATAAGTATACCTAACTGACGCTTTCCTTTGTTCACCCAAACACAGCGTCTGGCCGGTGACGAGTACGTGGGCTTCAACAACGCCGTGTTCCTCTCGGAGCGCGAGGCGGCCGACAGAAACTACGCCCTCGGCTTCTACATGCGCGAGAACAAGTGCTTCCCCACCAAGTCCAACCTGCGAGAGGTGATGGATTTCTACTTTCAGGTGAGTGTTTGGCGTTAGAGCCGTGAGCTGTCGATGGCTGTGTTTGGCGTTAGAGCCGTGAGCTGTCGATGGCTGAAGTCTGGCCAGCTGGCAGCGCTGCCAAGTTCGGTAGCGCCGCCCTCGGTCAGGTGTCGGCTGGGTTATGGGCAGCTACTGGCCGACAGGTGTTCGGAGCGAGGTTATGGCATGTGCCCGATGCCGGCTGTGCTGCCGGGCGCGGCGGGCCGGGGTCACTCGGGGTACGGCGGCGCACCGGGCCCCGGTCACTCAGGGTACGGGCACTGGGTGCTGGCGGGCCGGGGCTATGTGCGACTGGTGGTCCGGGGGACTCGGGAGACGGTGACGCTGTGTACGTCACTGCCGCGTCACGAACGCCGCCGGGTATTTCTGACACGAGGCCAGCTGAGGAGCGCGGCCCCTCCCCGTCACCGGTCACCCCGCCCGGTCCGGGGGGCGCTGGGGAGGCCGGAGCTGGGAAATGGAGCTGGCGGTCTGCCAGGGGTGAGCCATCGCCGCCGGACACGGCACGTGGACTCGGATGACCCCCGTGGCGAAGTGTCCGCCAAAGTATCCATCCGTCCGTGCGTCAACAGGGAGGGTGGCGATGAGATCATTGTTGTGGCTTTATAGAACTTGATCAACTGGAGCAGCTCACTATGCGTAACCCGAACTAAGCATGGCAAATGAACCAACCATCTGTGAATGTAAGGTGAAGTTAAAGTGTGTTGGACTGATCATCCGATTTGTGTAACGATTAGTCATTATTCGTACAAGTTAAGAAGAGCTCGGCGTCGCTTTCGCCTGTACTGTTTCTGCTCCTCGTTCAACTTCTCCCCGCTGACCCTAACCGTCCCCCCCGCCCCCCCCCCCCTGCTCTCAGTGTTGTGCCATGGAGACGACGTGTGACGCCATGTCGGTGACGCCCCCCTTACCCCCCTCTCAGTACTGTATGGCACACTACCTCTCAGTAGTGTGCCATGGAGACGTGTGACGCCATGTCGGTGACGCCCCCCCTCCCCCTCTCTCAGTGTTGTGCCATGGAGACGACATGTGACGCCATGTCGGTGACGCCCCCCCCTCCCCCTCTCTCAGTGTTGTGCCATGGAGACGACGTGTGACGCCATGTCGGTGACGCCCCTCCCCCCCCCCCCCCAGTGCTGTGCCATGGAGACGACGTGTGACGCCATGTCGGTGATGGCCGCGACGCTGGCCAACGGCGGCATCTGCCCCACCTCCGAGGAGAAGGTCATGTCCACGGACTCAGTCAGGGACGTCCTCAGCCTGATGCACAGCTGCGGCATGTACGACTACAGCGGACAGTTCGCATTCAATGTGAGTCGGGGACGTGGGAGGCTACCACTCCCCTGCCCTGGGGCGACCGTGGCGGGGTCGGTCTATCTGGTGGATTTTTCTCAAGATTTCATTTAGTTATCTGGCTAAATTAAAAGGCATTGGCATTTGGCTCATCAAACGTCATTGACACGGTGACAGAGGTTATGCCATTGCAGAAGCGGTTAGTGCAATCCTCCGGTGATTCTCACATCTCCACGTTCACTCCATGAGCTCGCAGTTAATCTCCTAGTTCAGCTTTTCTGCTCCTGGTGGATTATAGATCTGACTAGAGTTAGCCATTTTGAGCAATGCATTTGTATTGACCGATAGCGGAAAATTGTTTGGCACTCAATATAAGCCATGCTGCGCTATTTTCCGTTCCGTTTATCCATCACCCAGTTATGTCTGTTGCTGACGTTAGTTCGCACTCTGTCCGCCAGGTGGGTCTGCCGGCCAAGTCGGGCGTCTCGGGCGGTATGATGCTGGTCGTTCCCAATGTGATGGGCATCTGCCTGTGGTCACCGCCACTCGATATGTATGGAAACTCGGTCCGCGGCATTCAGTTCTGCAGCGTGAGTACCTACAGGGAGAGACAGCAGCTGGTGCGGGGAGGCTGTCGAGATAAGACTATCGATAGATATTTAAGACGCTACATTTGCTACTTTGATGGTTCTTTTCCTGACTCTCAATGACTATCCCGCGCTACCCAGCTAGGTCTTACCTATCAGGGTCGTGGAATGAAGGCATTACGGTTTACATGTCCTTCAAGACAGTCCGTATTCAGCTCAGTGCGATTGACTGTCGGATGATCTTCAAACTACTTCTGTTAGGAACTGGTGAACATGTTCAACTTCCACCGCTATGACAACTTGAAGTACAGCACGGACAAGAAGGATCCGCGGCGTCACAAGCACGAGACAAAGGGCATCAACATCGTGAACCTGCTGTTCTCGGCTGCCTCCGGAGACGTCAGCGCCATGAGAAGGTAGGTGTCTGATGAATATGTGGCTAATATAAGGTATGTGTCACCTTATGAATGTGCACACAATAATGCGTAGATGTGAGCTTATCGGACTGATAGGTGTACTGTTTGCTAGTTTCACATTACTGACTCGACTACTTGAATGATTGAATGACCTTCTGTGAATGATCTTGGCATGCACTGTGCAGTCTATTATCCCACGTCAGTAATCAACAGTTAATCAAGATCGCGTATTTGACGTTCCGCATTACACACCTCCCGCGCCGCCCCGTCCGCCCTCAGGCACAAGTTGTCCGGTATGAACATGTCGGAGCGCGACTACGACGGCCGCACGGCGCTACATGTGGCCGCCGCCGAGGGCCACCTGGAGTGTGTCGAGTTCCTGCTGCGCCACTGCCGCGTCTCGCCGTCCATCCAGGACCGGTGGGGCAACACGCCGCTGGAGGACGCCGAGCGGTTCCAGCACGCGCGCGTCGCCGAGCTGATCCGCTCCTTCCAGCAGGGCGCCGACGGCGAGACGGTCGGTCAGCCCGAGCCCGGGGAGGGAGCCGGAGCGGAGGACGGCCAGGTGGGCGACGGGGCCACCGTCGGGGGATCCAAGTAGGCAGGGAATGGGACTGGGGGAGGGGAGGATTCACGCCCGGTGGGCGCCGGACGGCAGACGGGAGACGGGAGCTAACTCTTGTCTCAATGGAGACTGTGGATGCGAGTCCCGCGTTATTTGGTGGGTCCGAATCCGCGAGTCTCCAGCGGTCTTTCCGTAGGCTGGAGGGGGTTAGTGGGCGCCAGCCTTCAAAATAGACTCAGGATGCGCACAGAATGGTTACAAAATACTGGTTATATGAAGGATTCGTTTCCTGCTTGTGGCGCAACTTGTTAGCATTGTCAGATAATTGTTACTTCCAGAGTAAGGATAGACAGCAAGTTTCTAGTAACAGTCCTGATGTCCTGACAGTAAGTTTCTAGTCAGTTTTCTAGTCATGATAGTTCTAAAGCCCAAACATATATCTCTTCTTTGTTGATCTGTCGTGATATCATAGCTTGGTTTTGCCATATCGCGTTCAATCTTATATCGGGGCTTTCTTGCTACTGATAAAGGCTCATTTTCTATGCATGACGGTTAAATTTCGACCTCCTCCCAAAGCGATAATGTGATACCAACACATTGCACGGTGGATTATTCAGCGATATCAGAAGGAATAACTGCGTACATAGTCGTTACTCACGGTGTTGTTGCTAGCGAGTTGAATTCTCCAACTTCTGTGATAGCCTAGAGTAGATAGGTGCTTTCCCTCGTGCACTGCTTACTCGTAGGTCCTACCGGGACGAGAAGTCCCCTGCAGCATCATGTGCCAATGCAGCCGGCTCGGGTGACCCGTCTCCACACTCGGAGCGCTTTGTCTCCCTGTGTTCAATGTCCGGCAGAAGTTAGCCGCAGAATCTGCGATTGCCGCACCATGCCGGACTAGCTGATGTAGTTTCCACTCGGCGCGCACCTGTGCTTCAGCGCGCTGTTGTTGCACCTTTTGTCCCTGGGTTTGGTCGAGTTGCCATCTCGTCGATTGCTGGAGACCAGGACAGACGCCCGGTCGTTTCGAGCGTCCTGGTCGCAGCGTGGTTGAACCCTGCCCTGTCCGGCTGTGCGCCGCGTGTGCTCGCGAATAGGGACGGATCAGCGGCAGAAGTGAGGCAGCCGATGGAGCCTGTGATCCAGAGTTTGAGGCGCTACTGACCCGAAGATTAGGACAACAGTGTTGTACAGTTTTCCTTGACTCCATTGTTGGAGTAAACAATTTTCGTTATCAATGCCTACATCGTCCTCTTCCCTTTCGAATAACAATAGTAATTGGGTTATAAAAGGCACTACCCATTTGCAGAAGGTTGACTGCATACCTGCGAATATTTTCATTTGAGAATTAACAGCCATTATTGTTTTTTACGTTAGTTTTTGACAACGCGTATAAACGACGCCTTGCCTACATGATCAAACAGTGAATTGCTTACTCTACACGGTTATTTATTATTTACCGTAGTCGGTTACTTCTTCCGGACAGCCAGTTTCATCTTATTTTCCTCGTTATATGTTGTATGGTGCAGATGTTTCCGTTGATGATCAATGTTGACTCAATTATGTAGCGCATTTTGAGGCAGCTCATCGCTTTGTCACCTTTCGCTAGACTGCTGCTGGTGACTTACGATGTTTGGTTGTTATGTTGTCAGTGCATACTTGCTCATGTCTTGCAACTAGTTGCGGGTAGAAGTCACGCTTTGTGACCTTAGGAACCAACCCTGGTATGTGTGCTGCCATTTCCCTGCGGTGAACATTTTGTTCGTTTAGCGTTTTCCGTCGCCGGGTGCGCCGCAGCCCGGCGGCGGTGGATCTGTCGTCAGATGCTCCGGTCTGTGTGTTTGTAACGATGGTAAGAGATCTCATGTTGTGCTTGATCCGGATGGCCACTCCCGGCTCCGTCGGGCCAGGAAAAGGAGAGCAATACACGCATGTTATCATAAGGGATTTCTACCTAAGTGCGGGCTTCGTGAGGGCTGATAATAAGAGACATGTAGAGATTTGGTAAAATTGTATTGCAAGAATGCATATCCGGGTTCCGAATTAGCCTTAGACAGAGGAGCGCGAACCAGATAGAGATCGTCCGCGGATTCGCCTTGGCAAGTGTGACCGAAGGATCACGGCGTCCCAGACGGGCGGCAGATTAGGAGCTCGGGAGCAGCGCATTAGGAACACCTGGGGGTCGACACCCGGCTGTCAGCCTCGTGTAGAACAAGAGCTCCGCACCGCCCCGATCGTCGCCGATACACTGATGTAAGAATTTGGGCCGCGCCGACACCAACACTTTTATAGAGCGGGGATGTTTTTGCATATGCACGGCTAGGAATTTCCCATGATGGTGCTGATCGCTGCGGCGCTGCCATGCTGAGTTCGTGGTAACGTGAAGCCGAAATCTCCAGACGCGGAGATCAATGTTATCGGCTGATGTTAGCGCAAAGTGATGGTGTTGATATAAGGGAACTTGTCCGACAAAAATAATGTAAGGACTTCTTACAAGGTGGCTCAACGCATTCCAGTTCTCAGATGACTTTGATGAAGACCTCAGGGTGATTGTGTAGTTCATAGATGTGTGGATACTGACTCAAACAGCTAAGCTCTTCGTTTTAGATATGTCGTTTTCATTTCTTAACTTCAAAGAAGGTGATACTCCCGGTTTCTCTCTGCATCTGGGGAGTGGAAAGTTAGTGTCACAAACCAATTACCCACTACTCTGGTTATTATCCTATCTCCCGCACTCTCTCTTCTCTCTCTCTCTCTCTCTCTCTCTCTCTCTCTCTCTCTCTCTCTCTCTCTCTCTCTCTCTCTCTCTCTCTCTCTGTCTCTGTCTCTGTCTCTCTCTCTCTCTCTCTCTCTCTCTCTCTCTCTCTCTCTCTCTCTCTCTCTCTCTCTCTCTCTCTCTCTCTCTCTCTCTCTCTCTCTCTCTCTCTCTCTCTCTCCTCTCCCCGATCTCTTTCTCTTTCCCCTCTCCCCTATCTTCTCCCCCCTGTTTATTTCAAGTTCATTTTTAGCTCTGGGCTTTAACAGAACCTGTACTGAGATTGAGCTAAGTGACCTGAGTTTATCGAGAGTGGGTAGCAGACCTTATTGTGTGCGGAGTGTACAAGAGCCAAGAGATCCTCCGGTAGCTCAACATGAAAACGCTTAGCTCCAGCTAATGGCTCAGTGAAGGTGGGCTAGCTAAGCTCATATCGTGACATTGAACTGTGCTGACCACCGGCCGCGCGCGCAGTGGCTGAGATTGTCCCGGCTGGACAGCCCGCCCTGCCACCCAAGCGGAAGGGGCTGGCCACGAGAATATCTATGATGGATGCCGACGCCGAGCCGGTAGCTCGCTCTCAAGTTCTTTTTCTTTCTTTTCGTTCTTCTTGCAATTGTTTGTTTGTTTTGTTGGGTTAGGCCCTTACGGTCTGATAAGACCATTTCAGAGCCGGGAGGATGATGGGAATGAGGGGGGAGATATTGGTCTACGCAGGCACCTTAGAGAGTCACCTCACCGGGGCTGAGCCCGTCCGAATGGACAGGCCGACAAGCCCCCAAGTACTCTGTGCCCGGCTACGGGTGTGCTCCCTTGGGAGCAGCCCGCATGAGATAAAGAGGCCTGTCCAGCCCGGACTGAGGGTTGCGGAGTGGAGGAGAATGATTTGAGTGTCCTGAGAATGGAAACGACGGACGGGGGGCTCTTGCAATTCGCAACCCGTGATGGTACGGGGCACGGGCTCCTCTCGGCCGTCTGGCGGCCTGTCGCTGAAGCTCAGTTTCGGCGTACGCCGCCAGGTGACGGTGTCGGTTCATTCTGTCCTACCGAGTCGAACTGTGGACCAACCGCGAGTCGAACTGTGGACCCGGATTCTGGGTCTGCGGATCTCCGATACTGCTTTTATAGTTGCACTCATGTTCAATCCCGTATCACTTAGTGCAACGATTCGCACACAGGACAGTTGGTAGAGCATTGAGCTCCCTGTAGTGAGAGCCCGGGTTCGAGTCGCTCCGGCGCTCGATAGTTGAGACTCCTGATGGGGATGGTCTGCGGCTGATGGGGACAGCCGCGGCCAGTTAAAGTCGGTTTAGTGGGACAGGCCGTGTCCGGCTTTGATTGGCACGTTAAATGTTGGCATCTTAATTCTCCCGTTACCCGGAATCGCGCGATCGGACGGTACCTATGAGTCGGGGTCTACGCAACAAGCTCTGCTTAGCATGGGTTTCGGCTCTGTCAATCCGTCCATTCAAACATTCGAGCTAAATTTATAAGAAAAATAAAATGATGAGCATCAAACGATGCTGTGTGGATGGTGTGTCCCCGAAAAGGATATGGATATGACATGGGTGTCGTCTTATTCGGGTATGGTGGAGCCCGAATCCTGCAAATTATTATCATGTTTTAAAGTAAACCCTTGTTATCGCTCGCATGGTATGAACGACTTTTCTGTCCTTCTATCAACCATTATCAGTCCTATAACCATAAAATTTTGGAGAGCGTCGCCCTGGAGATACCTACCTAAAGTGTGTCGCTGAAAATAAATCGGTGAATTTGTTTCGCTTCATCGTTTATGATTTATTTACTTTTCCGGGCTAGGTCCTTTCCGACTATTTTGCCCATTTCAGAATTCAGGCACATGAGATAAAAACAAACGGGAAAGGCATTTGACTAATGTGACCAACGGCTGCTGTGCCGTGAGGACTCAGCAGATCAGTTTGGCACGGGTCGTCCAGCCGTTCAAACGGTTATACCCCGATCGAAGGCTATTAATGTGGCTGCTACGATTGCGTAACTAGGGGTGACCGTCATCCCGGACATGGGATGGTAGGTTCTAAGTAGGTACACGTAGGACGGACGCTTTTCATTTGCCTACCCCGCCATACCCATGCTGTCACAGTTCACCCCCGCACTGTATTTGTCTGTATATTTGTATACAATGTGATAAAATGAAGGAGACCCATAATGCCACTGCGTGTTTACAATAACATAGGTATTATGCATATATGTTGCAGGCACTTTAGAAAATCAGTCATTTTGTAAAATGCCTAGGCATTTTACAAAAAGACGGCTGTTTGAAAAATGACTGAACGCAACCAGGCTTTTTTCAAAATGGCTAGCCATTTTACAAAATGACTAGACATTTTGCAAAATGCCTGACCAGCATGGAACGTAGATCCCACTACAGATACTATGGCCAACAGTTTTTGGAGTTTGGACGTCTTCCTACACCCTATAGGTACGTGTTCAGCCTGTAGCTGATCGATCTGAAGCTCTGTGATGACGACAATTGAATGCTGAGTAACAACCAGGTTGAGTTGCAGACTCGGCTGTAGCATAAAGCATTGTTTAGTTAACGCTGTAAAAACTCCCAAGTACATCAACGCCGTTCATGTTCTGCCTGAAACTACATAGACTGACTGACTGTAGGTTGATAAAAAGTCTACTATTTCTGTCCGTTCCTGGTTCGTTATGAATTGATGGTTTTTGCCAGCACTTGAGTCTATGATCTCCGCCACCTTGCGGTCGAATTCTGGACGCGACATAACGGTCCACGAGGCACTCGCGACACGCACGGACGCTCACTCACAGCCCACGGCTCAACAAAGAAGCCCAGTGTGGACCACCCCTCCCCTCCTCAGTTGACTGGACAGCGCTCATTGGCTCTAAGGAACTTCAACAAGTCTACCCTAGGCCTAGTCCACGCAATTGTTTACAGTATTGTTGTTTAGGTTTTCTTCCTAACATTTCTTTGGAATAAAAAAGCTCTCTGATCACAATGAATATTAAAGCAATAATTAACAAAACACGATTAATTTTGTTCTGTGGCAACGGCTTTGAGTACCTACTTGCATGGTCCCAGTTAAAAATATCAAGCTCCACATCGGGAGTATCATCATGGGTCGCTTGGCGTAGGACGAGAGCGTTGGTTTCAGAAGACATTAAGGCCTAAGTGTGTGGGATGGAATCCTCGCGACCTGTAATAGTTTTACAGACACAGGCCGGCATAGGGCCAGTCGTTTGTTGACGCTCCAGATCGATCATTTTAAATCCAGCAGCATCGCTGACGTCGGGGTTGGAAATGTCGCGGGCCTGTACTTCTCAAAATAGAGGTAGGTATGGACTTCCCACTGCTGGACTCCTCTGGTCATAATGCTGGACTCCTCGGTCCACCTACACGCTACCAAAACGTATATAATTAGGTACTCGTATCTACAACACGCTGCTCAGTCATTTTGTAAAATGGCTAGGTATTTTGTAAAATGCCCAGGCATTTTGCAAAATGACTGGAGAGTCAGTCATTTTGTAAAATGCCTAGACTTTTTGCAAAAAGCCTGGAAAATCAGGCATTTTGCAAAATGCCTAGGCATTTTACAAAATGACTGATTTTCTAAAGTGCCTGCAACATATATACCTAAACCAGAGCGAGAGGTGGTCTACTTCGATGAATCGTTATCTCACTATGTCATCATTGTATTTCGACCTCTTTAATGTATTTGTGCTTTCCATTTTTTTTTTCTTTAGTTACGCTACCGTGTATTTTCCTTATATCTTTTTCGTGGAGTCACTCATGTATGTGTTGTGTTCGCATTCTCGAATTCATGTTTGTAACAACATGATATATTTCGACCGCTTATAAACTACGTAACAATACGTAACACTTCAAATAACGCCCTGACGTTTGCCCGCTGATTTGAGTTCGCTGAGCAACAAGCTTGCTTAGCTCGGCGGCTCTTTTCAGTGGGCATTTGACTCTGCCGAACCCAGACCAGATACTGTCCCCCCCCCGCAAAAATGTGTGAATGCGCTGCACGATTAACCTAACTAACCGATGGAATGACTGATCCTTTGGCTTATTCTTAAATGGGAAGGTGTAGTGGTCAGTCAAGCTACATTTAGCCTTGACTTCTTTGCTTCTCTTTTAAGCCATAGGGTAGACCGGGGCAAGTCGCCCCGCCGAGGTAAAAC